GAGTTCTTCAGACGTGGAATCCGAACGCTGCCTGAAAGATGGGAAAAAGTAGTTGCTAGTGATGGACAATACTTTGATTAAACTTAAACTACCGTTCTGTCACAATAAATATTTAATTTTTGACAAAAAACGGCGGAAACTTATTTGTACTCCTAATATATGCACACACAATTATATAGACAAATATAATAAATATAATATATATTTAACCCTTTAACCCTTGTTTTATTTCATTCGGAGAACATACACTTGTATGCTTAAATAAATTTTTCAACTGCAACGAGTATACTCAGCAAAAACAGAATAAGTGCATTTGTTGTAAAATCGAAATAAATTATAATAAACCTAACAAATTTATTAAACTGTCTTTAAATTATGTTTATTCCTGTAAGAAATTTAGCCGCAGGAGTGCGACAGCTGCTGGCTGCGACTACTAGCGCTCGAGCGTGAGCGCGGAAAAGCGATTAAAAAATTCGGAGTCTCATTGCCGATTTTCGGAGCGGTAACCGACATTTTCTCGTGAGATGGCGAATGAGGAAACATCGTCGTAGAGTCGCGTCGGTCCATTGTAATATTAATTCTTGTGCTAATCTAAATATATCATTGTTCATCACTAAGTGAGTGAGTGAGTGTGTGGTTTTCATTTATCCGCTTTGTATTAAGAGGGTATTAGATACCGACTATAGAGACCTGTAAACCGACGTTTTTATAACCTAAATTTCTTTATTTTTTAATTTTATTTATTGCACAACATCCTCCCGAATGGGTTCCCACCTTGTAGTAGCTCCGAGGCGGGAGCTTGGGGCTCGCGGAGCGCTCGGTGCGCACGTGGTCTGGCCGCCTCGCAGTAACTACACGGAACGTTATTTTGTTCCTAGCATGTGCTGGTGGCGGCGTGGCCGGACATTGATCGTCAGCTCCTCTCTGGACGCTGGCGGATCTGCCTGGTTGTGTCGTCACAATGGAAGTGTAATCTGACGGGACAACAATTGACCACAGAAAGTGAGCATCTGGTGTCGTCGGGGGCTGTGGGCTCTCGCGCCGAAGCGGGTGGTGGTCATCCGCTCAGGAATGGGCCCGTCTGTGACCAACTAAGAGAAAGTTAAGGTGTGAGCGACCGTGCCGAAAACTGCGTGGTGCAAGGGGAGTTGCGTCGTGAACGGTGCCTCCTGGATACCGCGCGAAATCCAGGAGTACGGATCCAAGCCTCAGCCATTCACGGCTCTGGCTGGGTGAGACCGCGCGACCGCGATACTTGTGGGAACAAAATGGAGTTTAATAAAAATACACTCACTCCCAAGTCAGTCCCCAAAAGCGAAGCCTTCTCTGAAGGTAAACGCCCAGGGGAATCTTGCAGTGCGGGAGCGGGCTCAGAAGCCCCAAAATACCGCATAAGATATAGCGGGGCCGCTAGGCGCTGTTATAATAAAGAGATGCTAGCCGGGGAGAGTGGGGCCAATAAGGCCCCCTCTACCCCCGCAGCCTCTTGCTCAAAAGTTAGAAATGGGGATGTGCGGGCTTCGGGTGACGCGGCAAAGCGCGCCAGGCCGGAGCACACTACTTCCAGCCCCTTAGAAAATCGCCAGAGCAAGAGACCCAAAAATGAGGGGTCGTATGCACAGGCGACAATAGGATGGCCCTCGTACTGGAAGGCTACCCTGACAAGAAGATAGGAACCGATGAGGTGGTTGAGATCAGGAAACTGATCCGGACTCTCATTTTTAGCATGTCCGAAAATGACAAAGCCCTCACCTTCACCGGTTCCTGGGAAAGGGATGGCGCACTCATTGTCGTGTGCGCCAATAAAGAGTCGGCGAAGTGGCTTAAGGTCCACTCCCCCGAAGCAAAAATCAAGGGAATTTCTCTGCGTGTGCTGCCGGTCGGTGAGCTACCCAGGCGACACCGGGTGGTGGTGCATGTGGAAGAACCTGACATAAACGTTGAGGAGGCTCTAAAGCTCCTCAACCAACAGAACCAGGGCTGGCAACCAGTGAATGGGTCGTCAATAGAGGGACGTACAGTAGAAACGCCTTGAGCGCCCACTTTTCCTGCCTGGTTGGCGACTCGGCACTTGAAGCACTGTGGTTTCAGTCCTTTTCTCGGTCTCGGCCGAGCCGCCGTTAAGGTGGCGGGACGGGAGCGCGGAGAGACGACTGAGAAGAAAAAGGCGTCGGAGGATGTTGTTACGTCCTGCGACTCCACGGTTCCCTTCTTTATGCAACGCAGTATGGTGAACACTCGGTAGAATCGAATTTTATCTTAAACAAAAGCGCAGAGATAAAACGAAGACTAAACAG